TTGACATGGCCAATTTTAATAATTAAATTAGTCTGGCCCAAGCGTGCACCTAACAGGCATAATTCAATCATGAAATTACTCAATCATGCACTCAATTTCATCACCCCAACTTAGTCGCAATTCCAACACACATTAAACACACAATCTGTCATTTTTCTCCAACCAAACGGCGTCGAATCAATTCCGGCCCTTCACGGCACTTTCTCATAATTAATTGCCGGTTCTAAAAACCCAATTTTCATCCCGATCAGTACATCACAGCTCACCGAACAGCCCATCACAGCCCACTTTAGTCTCAAATTTTTCCACCAAAATTCCCAAAATTCAATCCTAAGGCCCGCTAAACATTTCCTCACCTAAAATCATATAAATCCGCGCCTAAATAAACCCGATTTCACCCAAAAATTTATCCGTCGATACCTGAGGTCCTAAATGGGTTTTAGGGCGCGACTTACCGAGTTCTAGACTTACGCGGCTAGAACGGAGTGCGGCGGTGAACGGCGGGGACGGCGGCGATCCGGCGGCGCGGCTTGCTTGGCGACGACGCGGCGTGGCTTGCTCGGCCGAGACCCACGGCCACACGGGGAGAGAGAGAGAAGGGGAGGAACGGCGGCGAACGGTGGGGTGGTGACCGGCGGGCGTACGGACGGTGGCGGCGGTGTGGCGTGGCTTAGCGGGCGGTGGACGGTGGCGCCGGTGTATGGCCAAGGGAGAGAGAGAGAGATTTCGGTGAGGGGGGGAAGGTGAGCCGAAGAGGGGAGAGAGAGAAATGAAGAGAGAGAGAGGTTGATCTTGACTCAAATAGTGCACTTTAGACCAAAATGGCAAATGACCAAAATACCCCTCTATCACATTTTTGATCCAATGGTCCAGATTCGATCTAATCTTGAAATCGACGGCCCAGATCGAATCTCATCCAAAATATCCAAGGGCAATCTTGTAATTTCTCAAAAAGTTCAAGGGCAAAAGTGTCTTTTCCAAACTTTGGGGCAAAATTACCAAAATGCCCTTTGCCCATAAAACTAACCCTTTATTAATTCCCAAGGGTAAAATGGTCACTTTCTTATTTTCTCATCAAAAATGAATTTTTCTGAAGGATTCGGGCACATCCAAAATTGTACGTTACAACTGCAACGTCGTCCTAACGTCCCGTTGTGACTTCCTAATTTTCCGATGTCCAATTTGGGCTAAATTAAATAATTAAATTTTATTAAACGCAACTCGAGCGTTTCTCAAACTAACGGGCGGCTTGTTGGGGAAATTCGGATATTCGACCTATGACTGACACTAAATCGAGTCACGTGCAAGTTCATTCGGTACATGACGACCTCGATTGTCATTAAAATCGCGAAGATCAATCACTAGATCCGAGGGGCACGATCGTTTGGTATAGGTTCAGGATCATTCGTCAAGTCATTTCGTGGTCCAGCGGAATCACCCACGATCCACTATTATGACAGTGGCGAACTGACCCCTGACTATCCTTGGATCGGCCAACAGTGGCTCAAAATATCACCTCAGCGGTTTTATGGTCGAAAATCAATTCACGATCGAATTTTCTCTTAGTCGCGCGAATTTAATTCCCCAATTAGCCTTTCCCTATTGGTTAGCATCCCAGGAATGATCAGTTCCGGGCGAGAATTTACTACGAGTACATTTCATAAAACTCAATATTTTACAAATCCCAAATGGACAAATTTTCAGGATGTCACAAATGGAGGTGGATAATCATCCGTATCTCCATAATAGACCCCATAGTCAAATTTCTCACTAGGCTCTCCAAGTAATCCGACTTTGGGATCACCTTCCTTATATCGCTGCCATAAACTCTTTTTCTTTGCAGACTTCGGTAATGTTTCGTTTTCTTCATGAACTTGCGTAACCAACTCGCGAATTGGAGGGGCTAGTCGAGATGAATCAGGGTGGTATTCCTTTCTCTCATGCCTATGACTAACATCTTTTCTTTCAAGCACCTGTGCTGTCTGCCTTGAGTAAATTTCCTCCTCTCTTACTTGTTCCGAAGAGTTTTCGGTAGCTACAATCTCAGATTTTACCTGTGGTCTGCTTATCCTGCGGACAAATGTTCCCGATCTGTATCTCCCTCTCGCTCCTCTCACGTATTGGGACCTGGGAAACTCTCGATCTTGCCGAGTCAGCTCCTGGTGACAACGAGTGCAAAGTTGTTTGTTGTCATCGTCTATTGTCTCTCGTATATTAACCATGCTGATCATGTTCGGGAAAGGGTCTGTGTCTACTTCCATTAGGGCCTTGCCTTTGTCCTCGGCAAATTTAATCTTGCCTTGGCGAATTGCCTCTTGAATAGTCTTTTTAAACACAATGCAATTTACCGTATCATGAGTTGTAGAGTGATGCCATTTGTAATATCTCTTATCTGCTATTTCCTCCATTGACGGGATTACCTGTCCTTCAGATAATTTGATCATTCCATCTTTCAACAACAGGTCAAATATTTCATCTAACTTGTAAATATCAAAAGAATAGTTATTTGTCTCCTTAACCTTGAACTTGGACACATCTCTCACCCTAGCCGGTTTAAGTGCTGGACACACATACGGTTTTTCAAGCACCATGGTTGCTACGGCTATCTCATTCTCCTCTTCGGTTGTAACACCATGTTCGGTACTTTCAGAAAGTGCCACTGTCTGCCGATTGTCCTTATTCGGCTTCTTATCTTTCTCCTTCAACAAGTGTTCGTACTTAGAAACCCGAGCGTTTAACTGAAAGAGATCGTCAAAGGCTTGTCCTTCAAATCTTTCCTTAAGGTTAAACCTTAAACCGTTAAAAGCCAAATCTGTGAACTCCTTCTCAGTGAGTGATGTTAAACATCGATTTCTGGATTTCTTGAAACGTGCAATAAACTGATCTACTGTCTCGGTACCATATTGATACATCCTGGCCAAATCGGCTACCATTACCTCTGGTACCGTTCGGTAAAATTGAGAATGAAACTGCCTTTCCATCTCGGCCCATGTTTGAATAGAATTCGCAGGTAAATTTGTATACCAAGTGAATGCTGTTTTGGACAAAGACAATGGGAACAACCTTAGCCTTAAATACTCATTAGTTCCAACTTCTCCACATTGTGCCAAGAATCAACCCACATGCTCCACAGTTGACTGATCCTCCTCTCCGGTAAATACAGCAAAATCTGGCATATTGAAACCCTTTGGATATGGTATGTTATCAACCCAATCGGGATGCGGCTTCCTATATACTGGCCTTGGCAATCCCCTCTCTGCTCCCAATTGTTGCATTACCAATTCTACCACTCTATCTGAGTTCCATGGTCTTAAATTCTGCTGGCCTAACCAAGGATCTTGACCCCTAGGATCAAACTGCTGAGGTCTATTCACCTCCTGCTGCTCCATGTTGAAATTAACGGGTAATGGTGGCCTATAAAGAGGATTTTCTATCATATGAGGATATGGTTAAGGCGCAGGTGGTCTGATATGGTCAGCATTAGGCATATTTATTGGTGGAGGCACGTTCAGCACTGGTGGTGCATTTGTGACCATGGGATTAACCAAATTAACATCATTTGGGGCATTTTGAGGGAAATTATAAGCACTAACACCATTCATAAGGTTTATAGGGGTAGGATTCTCTGGCCTTGGTATAATTCTAACAGGAGGTTGAGAATTTGATCCCCCATTACCATTATATCCAACATGAGGAGGTCCCGATATTGGTGGGAACGATGTTGTCCCAAGAGGATTTGCATAAAAGGGTGGAACTTGAGAAGATGAACCGGGACGCGATATTACCTCATTTATAGCATTGATCACCATGGGCTTTATCACATCAGTCACATGTCGCACTATATGATTGGTAAGGTCGTTCTGCTGTTCCTCAAACATCCTTTTCATCGTGGCTACCAAGGTATTATCTGGTGCCAACGCGCGGGCTTGTTCTTCAGTTAATTGCCGAGGAATGTTGGCATTTTCCTCAACTTGATTAGCCGCAGAATGCTCAGAATGTGCTCCATCAACTGGATTGTTGACGTTACCCACCGGTATTCCTTCAGATTGCCTGGTTCTCACAATTTCTCCAAATCTTACCACGCAGGTCCTACCGGGCGTGCCAAAAAGATGTTTGCTCGTTTTACAACGAGGAATATCCTTCACCAAAACTTTGATTTTCAGTTTTTATTAAGGTAGGTTGTGTGGCTTGATTACTAGGAGAGTTGTGGTGAAAAATAAAGTGTAACACAGGATTGTATGGAACGGATAGAAACCGAATGGACTGGAAATGGATCTGAGATCGACAAAGTTTCGAGCTACGTTACAATACTCTTATGAAAGCTGTAAAGGACTTGAAGTTAAACAAAGCTGTAGGAAGTTGAAAATGCAGGAAGTAAAAGTACAAAGGAGACTAAAGTGCAGATAAGCTTGAGTGTTTTTGCATTGTTGTTGGTGTTTCCTCCTCCTTTCTTCTGAGTATTTGTATCTCTTCTCATTCTGTAACTGCTTATCGGTTACTTCTGTGTTTTCAAACTTTGAACTTTGGCGCTTCCAATAACTGCCCTTTCTAATTGTCCGCCAAAACTTGATCTCAATCGCTGGGATGACTTTAAATTTGGACAAGTAACTCCCCACAATATGCTCGTGCTCACTATCCCCGCTTTTTGCTCATAACTTCCTGCTATCGTGACTTACGTGGCTAGGCTGTGATTCATCTTTACCGATTTTCTATAATGTCGGTATATTCCCGAAGCGTAAACTTCTCGAATTTCGGGAAAAAGTCAACATTCCGAGGCATTAATATTCCAACGTCCCCAACTATGACTTTCCATGTTTCGGTAAATAAACAGATCTTCATCAATTACCGAATTCGGGATATGATGCCATTCATGCTTGCTCCTCAGCATGTTTCCAAATTCTATCTAAACGCATTTCGGAGGATGGCTAATTTCCATATACACCAAATTCGGCATTAAAGCCGATTCTGCGTTTGTACCGATTCTTATTTTGGTGTCAACAGAAACCATCAACGTTAAGCACACAAACAAGAAAGAAGGTAGGCCATATCACAAATGGCAGAAGCAGTGCTCTTCAACCTCGCCGCCGACATACTGATATTGGCCAGTTCCATAACCTCTTCGAAGATCCAATTTGTACGTGGTACGAGAGATGAGCTCCAAAGCCTTAAGGATACCATCGGGACCATCCAAGCTGTGCTTCTGGATGCCGAGAAGCAGCGATGGCACCAACATCAGGTCAAGCACTGGCTCAAGAGGCTCAAAGAAGTGATGTACGACGTACATGACTTGCTCGACGATGTCGCAACTGAAGATCTGAGGCGGAAGGTCACTTCTGGCAACAAGATGTCCAAAGAGGTACGCTTTTTCTTCTCCAAATCAAATCAGGTTGCCCAACGCTTCAAAGTGGCTCACAGGATTCGGGAACTTAGGAAGAAACTGGATCGGATTAAAAATGATAATGAGTTCCATTTAGATCAGCATCTGAGTGAGGCAACTCTTTCTATTGTGAGGAGGACAACTCACTCTTTTGTGCGCGAGGAAGAAATAATTGGTAGAGAAGAGGATAAGAAGAAGATCATCGCCCGCTTGTTTAATTCCTCCTCAGGAGGGAGTGTTTCGGTTGTTTCCATCGTCGGAATAGGAGGACTTGGAAAAACCGCGCTTGCTCAGCTGGTATACAACGATGACAAGGTGAAGGACTGTTTCAAGCTTAGGCTGTGGGTGTGTCACGGGGATCCTAAAATCTTTGATGAGGATTTGATCATCAAAGAAATACTAAAATCTGCCCAAGATGAGTGTCAAGGGGATCCTGAGATGATGAGAAATCTGCATGACATTGAGAATAAATCTAAGGACCAGTTGCAAAGTCTCCTTCGTAAGGTATTAGATGGGCAGAGATACTTGCTTGTTTTGGATGACTCGCAGAATGAAGATCGCAAGAGATGGTTGGAGCTGCGAAGTTTGCTAAAGAGTGGTTCATTAGGAAGCAAGATACTCGTAACCACACATAATAAGTCAGTCGTGCAGGCTATAGATGCGAAATCAATTATCCATTTTCTACATGGCTTATCTGAAGATAAGTCGTGGGACTTATTCAAGAAAATGGCTTTTGGAGATGGGGAAGAATCATTAAACCCAAGACTGGAGGAGATCGGTCGAGATATAGTCAGAAAATGTGTTGGTGTTCCCCTTGCCATCAGAACTATAGGCAGCCTATTATACAGCAAAAAGGAAAATGACTGGCTCTATTTCAAAGAGCATGAACTATAAAAAATAGATAAGTTGGACAATGGAATTATGGATGTCCTCAAGCTCAGCTACAATCATCTTCCGTCGCGGTTAAAGCATTGTTTTGCATATTGTGCGTTATTTCCAAAAGATTATGTCTTTGACAAACAGACAATGATACAACTTTGGATGGCACAAGGCTTTATTGAGTCATTGAAAGGGAACGAGGACCTTGAAGAGACTGGAGATAGTTATGTCTCGGACCTACTGTGTAGATCATTCCTTGAAGTTGAAGAGCTCAATCATCACACAAGTGAGGTAAAAATGTTCAAGATGCACGATCTCATGCATGATCTTGCCTTGAAAGTCGCAGGAGATGAGTGCAAGATGGTTAATATCAATGAAGGTGGCATCGGTGGAGGAATTCGACATGCATCATTTTCTCTACTTGAAGCAACCTCTCTACTTGAAACGACCAATCTACGAACATTTCTCTATATGAAGAAGGGGAAATCATTTGGACCGGACTTGTCCTTGAATGAATGTCATGGGATCCTCTCCAAGTTAAGGCATTGCCGAACGCTGGTGTTGCGCAATGTAAATTTTTGTATCCCTCCTTCCTTGGGGAGTCAGTTGAAGCACTTAAGATTTCTTGATGTTTCTGAAAACCAATATATCAAGAGTTTATCGGATTCAATCGCGGATTTGCTGAACTTGCAGACCCTTAAACTCTCTGGTTGCAAGAAGCTTACAACACTTCCGAGAGATTTGAGGAAATTGATCAACCTTAGACACCTCTTAATTGATAGGTGTGACTCACTAAGCCACATGCCATGTGGGTTGAATCACTTATCTTCGCTTCAGACTTTATCCCAGTTCATCGTACAAAAGATGGACCATAAAATTCCTGGTGGTGTTGGGAGAGTAGATGAACTTGGTGGGTTAAACAGATTGGCAGGGTCCATTACTCTTGGAAAGTTGGAGTTCCTTCAATCGGCACCGAACAAAAGTCACTTGAGGGAAAAGCAACATCTTCATTCCTTGGTCTTGAAGTGGTCAAGGGAGCAGCAAGATAACAAAAGCGAGAGCGATGAATTGATTGTGTGGGAGAACCTTAGACCGCACCAAAATTTAACTCATTTGACCATATCCTCTTGTATGGGTAGGAGACCGCCAAGTTGGCTTGCCTCCATCAGGAATCTTGTTGTGCTTACACTCAAAGAATGTAAAGGATGGAAGTACTTGCCAACTCTGAGTGAACTCCCTTCCCTAAGTATGTTGACTCTCAGTAACTTGGATGCATTGGAGTTCGTTCAAGAGATAAGTGACCCAAACCAATTTAATATTGCACGCCCCTTCTTCCCATCTCTGAAGGTACTGGACCTTCTCAAGTGTCGCAATCTAAAAAGATGGTGGGGAAGAAGGCAACTAATCGGAACAGATCAGGATCATCAGAGGTATGATTCATAATCATCATTCCCAAAACTTTCATCCGTGCGTATACGGGATTGTCCCCAGCTGAATACCTTGCCACTGTTACCCTGTGTAAAAAATTTGAGCACAGATGAGTTATCGCGAAGATGTTGGACAAGTGATGGCTGTTCCAAATTTGTCCATGAGACGCTGCAGTGATATCCACATTCATCTCTCTTTCTAAATTAATGAGACTTAACTTTTTTTGATGGGTGGATCCGGAGCACTTGATGTTCAAGACTTTACTTCGATTCCTCATTAATCTCGAGAGCATGTACCTCCATAATTGCGTCAAACTATGGAGTCTCTCTCATGGCATCCGGTACCTATCCTCGCTCAAGCACCTCTATATTGTCGCTTGTGAAGAACTCGATTTGACAAGCCACGACGAGCATGACACCCAGTGACGATCCCTTGTAGCACTCATTGGTCTTATAATGGATCAACTTCTGAAATTTGTGGCGTTACCCAGGGGATTCGACATGTCACCACTTTGCAATATCTCACTGTTGAAAGCTGTGAGAATCTGATGAGTTTGCCGGAATGGATTGGCAATTTCTCTTAACTCCAAAGGCTTCACATTATTGACTGCTGAGGTTTAACATGTTTGCTTGATGGGATGCACCGTCACTCCTCCTTTAAGAAATTGGGAATCGTTGGGTGTCCCGCTCTAGAAGAGAGGTGCCAAACAGAAAGCGGTGTAGATTGGGAAAACATTGCGCACGATCCGCACTTATCATTTGAATCACCTATTTCAAATAAAAGTAGATTCTATATTAGACACGTGGTTTTCAATAAAACTTTTGTTCCTTTATGTTTGTTGGATTTATGATAAAATAGTTGTTCTTTTGGAGTAAAACATTTTGTACATGTATAGAACACATTTCATATTGTATTTAGGTAAAAATAATTCATTTTAAATCATTTTATACATTTTGGTTAGGCAAATAAATATGTAATATATCAATTATTACTTATATTCCAGACCTCGCAGATATAGTTCCGTCATCTCATATTCATATAAATAAGCATAACAATCTTTTAGTATATCATTAGATAGCACAGGTTGATAATAAATCGAATTTTCATACGTCATATATTTATAAAAGAATTACACTCAAAATAGGTATATCTTCATATGCAAATTTTTACTGGCTTGTAATACGATTCTCATGATAACAATACTCTTATAATTTATCATAGTAGTGCCAATTTTCTCAAGTGCTTCAACAAAAATGATGATTTATATGCGTCTGTATACGCACCTCCGTTTAATTTCCTGGCCCCATGAACATGGCAGAACCATTGCTTCTCAATCTCGCCACTGAAATACTGAAGCTAGCCGGTTCCATCACCTATTATCGAAAGATCCAATTGCTATGCGGCATAAACGATGAGCTCCAGAGTCTCGAGGACATCGTCGAGACTGTTCGAGCGGTGCTATTAGACGCCGGGAAGTTGTCACGGCGAGAGGACCAGGTCAAGTGCTAGCTCGAGAGGCTGAAGATAGTGTTGAACGAAGTTGAGGTATTGCTCAACGATATCTCCCGGTGGCGGCGCTACATATAGTAGAAAGTGAGGGCAGCTGCCCCGACCCATAGTTCTATGGAGAAGAACCCATTTCATGGTAAGTCTAGGCATTATTAATCTGAATTTTAAGTATGTTTGTGTGTAATTTAAAATGTTAAACCCCGATTGTTTGGAAGAAAAGATTGGCCCACCATGCGGAAGCATTTGGTGTCATGTGAAAGCAGTGCACTTTTGCTTTGAATTGTGCTAGTTTACAGAGAAGAAGAAGAAAGCTAAAATGAGGATGTTGTGCCTTGGAAAAAAAGAAACTCCTATTACGTCACTTGTATATTTATATATTTTTTTCGGTACTTTTATTAGCAGAAGTATTTAATTTAGTGCAACCATGTATAATTCCTCATAAATTTCATCTTTGATAGTTTTACACATTTTTGGAGTTGGTTTTGTAAAATATATTGGGACCGCAACACTTGTTTGTGTATAAATATACGTTGTGCCGTAAGTAAGTCGATCCTGGTGGAAATTTATTCCTGGCTCCGCCACGGAAATCTCCACCCAAGAGCAGAGGCGAGCAATGAATTCAACTCGTGCAGAGCCTTAAAGTGGGTAATGTAACAGCCTGAATTTCGATGTAATTTCGGGATCAATAAATTGACCATATTTCGCATTTCATTTTAGTAAGTCTCGCCCAGAGCTGATCACTCTCGGGATACTAACCAATGGGGTATGGCTAACTAGGAAAATGGTACGTGGACCAGGGACCCGATCGTGAATTGGGCACCGATCTCGAGAAATGACGAGAGAATATTATGAATCAGTATGGACCGATCTTAGGAAAGGTAACGGATCTGGTTTGGCCAAGGCCAACGATGTACCATCGGATTGCAGGTGATTCTGCAAGACCGAAAGTACACGTGGCCAACCAGTCTTGAACTTGAACCGAGCGATCGTGACCTCTGGAACTAATGATAATTTCTCATTCTCTCAATGATCGAGACCATTACGATATGGATAGCCCTAGGTCGATACACGTAACTCCTAAACAGCCGCCCGTTAGTGAAAGACCCTGAAATTGAAAGTTTAGCAAGTTTTGTTCACGAAATTGAGCCCGGATTTCGAGATCGATTTTCGAAGGCTTAAGAGACTATTTTTGGGAATTTGACGTCATATTACGCTGGCCACACACGTTTGGGGTTAGTACGAGTGAAAATTGGAATTTCGGTCCGGGGGTGAGAAATTACGGTTTTGCCCCTGTGGGCACCGAGGCCGGATTCGGAGGCCGTTTGAGTTATTTTTCGCGGCCAATGTCATTTTGGGGTGGCCATGCACATTTAGAGTGGTTTTGGCCAAAAAGTGGAATATCGACAAAAATTGGAAAAATAATATTATTTTATTCCCGAAACTTTGCAGTCAGTTTTCGAGGACTTAAAAAGTGAATTTCGCGATTCCGACGCCATATTATGTTGGCCACGCACATATGGAACGCGGGTGTGTGAAAATTGGAATTTTGACCAGGGACCGAAAAATTACCAAAATGCCCTTGGACCCATTTTTGGTAATTCCGAATTTTGGATTTAATTAGGGGGCTAACCAAGGTGAGTTACGGTTAAACCAGGTCTGGTCAGCTTGGGTTAAGGATCAATGACCATTTTACCCCTAAATTATTGGATGAGAAGGAAGGATAGCCCTTGGATCAAGGGCAAAATTGTCCAATAACCTAAGATAATGACACTTGGAACCCACTAAATCAATTGTTGACCCTTATTTGACCAGATCACTCTCTCTCCAGCAGACCATTCGGCCAAATCCCCGAGAATTTCCTTCTTCTTTCCCATTTTACGTTACTGCGGTTCACGTTACGCTCAGCCCAGTCTGCATTCAGAGGAGCAGGCCACGGGCTGTCCCCGCCGAGCCAGCACCACCAGCGGCCCTTTCCGCCCAAGATCGGCCACCCTCGGCCCATTTCCAGCCGAACGAAGCAAACAGCAGCAAATCGCCGTTTCCGTCGTCGCCGCGGACCGCCGGCTTGCATCGGAACGCCGCCGTCGATCCTTACCGTTCGTCGGCGATCGACCGCCCGTTCCCGTCGTCCCGAGTCGTTAATAGGCGAGTATAAACCCCAAACCCTTAATTAGTCTAATTGTGTCCTTAGGGGGTAATTAGGGGTTAATTAAGCTCATTTAGGACCTAATGATGTTTATTTGGGTGTAGGATGATTATGATAGGTCATTAGGGCTTAATGAGGTTATTTAAGTGTGGATTAGTGTTCAAAACAGCCCCTGTTCTGGTACTGTTCACAAAGTACCGAAATTGTGCATATTTGTCTAAGTTTTGCACTAATTGAATTCAATGATTCAAGGCTTGAAATTAGACAATTCAAGTGTTAATTAAGCTCATTTGAGGCTTTATTATATGTATTTGGTGGTTGGATGTTTGGAGTAGGTGATTAGGCCTTAATGAGATGGTTTAAAGGTGGTTTAGTGCCTAAATGTTAATTTTTCCTGGTACTGTTCATTCAGTACCGAAAATGCCTAATTTGTGCCCAAGTTGAATATTCTAAGAATAATGGACTAGTGACAAGAATTTAGGCATTTTTAGGGGATGATTAGGACGTGTATAAATCCTATTGAATGACCCCGAAGTGGTGAGAACAACTATTGAGATGGATTTGCCCAGGGCGGGCCTTTAACGCATTGAACTACCTTGGAATGAAGTGCGAATGAATGTGGGATTCGTTGAACCAAAGTGGAAATATATTGAATGTGCCAAGGATGCGTTGAATTCGTTGATTTGGTGAATGATTGTGTTCGGCATGTTGGCTTAGGTATTATCGGTGTAGTCTGGACTGGATTAGGTAGTACCAGTGTGTAATTCGGACTGGATTGAGATCGATCGTTGGAAATTAAGTCTAAGGAATTTAGTGGGATTATTAGAAATAATTATTGGACTAGCACAGATTAATCGGGGATTATGTGATTGGACTGCTGGGTATGCCCGGGTTGATTGACTGGTTGATTTCTGTACCCAATTGTTGGGAAATTGAGTAATGCCATGTCGCGTGACCGCGTGGCCGACTTGTGCGGAGTGTGATTGGCCATATGATGGCTTGATTGGATTATTGAATTGCATATTGTGGAATTGAGCCGCATGGTATTAATTGGCCAGTGAACGATTGTTGCGGCATGAAATTAACTGAATGCTTGAATTGTGCTGATGCTCATGTTGCATTGTTTTGCATTTCATGGCACGCATAGTGAATGCCGGGAACGAGGCGTGTGATGAATTGTGCGAGAATGCGTGCCTGCTATGAGCATGTGATCACCTAAAATACCCTGAAGCGTTATACGCTGGGTTCAGATAATAATGAGTTGTGTGATCACCTATGGACCTTCGGGTCGATACCGTCCTCATGGACTTTGAAGCAGGACGATGCCCGGTACGTCCGGAAGGCGACCATCCTCATGCACTTTGAAGCAGGCTCTGGTTCGCAAGGAGATCAGTGTTGCGCCTCATGCACTTTGAAGCAGGCTAGAGACACTGGGCCAGATCGGTTGCTGTGCCTCATGCACTTTGAAGCAGGCTAGACGCACCGGGCCATGAAAAAAATTGATGACTCGAGTCGTAATAATAATTAATTTGGGCAAGTGTGCCAGTGTGGGCCAGTGGGCCAAAGAAATGTGCATGACATGTCAATGACATTTGCATGCATAAACATGCATTGATTGGCATGCGAGTGTGTGAGACTCGGTGTGTGACCATGGGATTGGCGTACGTGTGATAATGTGTACCACGTATGTCCCGTGATTATTACATATTGAACTGTCTAACCTGCAGGGTCAGCCAAGTAAGAGATCTGGGTCAGAGGGCCTAGGTCGGAGTTTATTTATAAATTGGTTGGTTATGTTGTTTTGTGCTGTCGGTCAGGAGATTGCATGTTAGCCTAGCCTAGGTTTAGGGGGTCATACTCGCTGAGATTAGTCTCACGGTTGTGTAAACCGAAACATTTTTAGACCCCCAGCCGTAGGATGCCGAGGACACCACCACTTTTTGGGATGCTGCATTTCATCCAGCAGTCGTTGAGCGTGCACCCCTGTGGAGACGGAGCAGATCGGAGAAGTGGCTGTTTGGTTATTCCTAGGAGTTGGTGTTTTATTTGAGTTGTTGGGAGCACTGTAAAAAGAGTTTTAAAATAGTGATATAAGTATGTACATATTTTCTGCGTTGATTGTTGTTTATTGCTTGGCTATCCTTAGTCTCATGCGATTTATTGTATGGGTGTATATATTTATTTATATACGTTGCTTCCGTATGTGTTTGATCTCTGATTGGGCATTGGGTCGGCAATGCTTCCTGGGAGCGTTGCACCATAATCGACTGTCGACGGGATGTTGCGTTCCGGTAGAGTACGGGGCGTGATAGGTAATCAGAAAGAATTGCGGGTGACAAGAAGTTCCATTTAGATGTACATCCGAGTGGGAAAACAAGCCGGCCGTCCGTTGGGAGGAGGAGGAAAGCTCACTCTTTCGCGCGCGAGCACGAAATAATTGGTAGAGAAGAGGATGAGGAGACCATCAAACTCCCGTTTGATCCCACCTCCAAGGAGAGTGTTTCGGCTGTGTTCCAATCGTTGCCATAGGAGGTCTAGGAAAAACCGCGCTTGCTCAACTAGTGTACAATGACGGAAAGTAGGAAGAGCTTATTATGATGTGGGTGGGCTTGTATGGTTGATGTCTTTGATGTACATTTTGATCATCAAAGAGAAATTTTGGTGGAATGGGAAGCCTGCCAGACATCGAGATCGACTTCTTCGTTTTCTTATCGGCCTCATTTTCTTTTTTCACTTCATAGGGGCATTAGGGAGCCAATAACCACTTCCAAAGGTCATGGTTATGAGATTGCGTGCTACGCTTGTGGAAAGCTTTTGCACGTTCTGTTCCTTTGTCAAGATCTCAGTAATTTCGTTTTAAACTCGTCATTCGAAAAAGACTTACCAAGAGTGGCTAGACCGATGATGATGTCCATGAAACGAGTGAACGAGTCTTTGATGCATTGATCGGGCCCCATCTTGAACAATCCGTTATTGTGCCGTAGCACGCTAATCTTGATCTCTTTGACGCAATTAGTTCCTCCGGAGGTGACCTTCAATTAATCTCATTCTCTTGCGTCATTCGACACAATGAAATTCGGTTGAATTCAGTAGGGGCAAGAGCACAATTGAGAACCTGCTTCGGTTTGATTTTAGTGATGCTCAAACAAAGGCCCTCTTTGGGAGCACTAGTGGATTTCCCTTTCTTCATCGGTACAAAGGGCCCTTTTTGCACAACTACCCGAAGGTCATGGGTCCATTGAATAAACGAACCCAGCCATCCTACATTCCGAATAAGAATAGTTAGCACCATTAAACAACGGAGGGACGAGTAATCAAGCTACCTGCATTCAAGCTAGTTCCAACAATGGTTCCCATCGGTTTTTATCTCAAAAGTATAACACTTCGTAGTAAGGGAAAATTATTCTCATACCAAATGTTAGGCCCAGGTAAGCAATCAGAAGGGGTGAATTGGTTTTCAAGAAAACACAAACTAATTTTGTAGAACCAAACCCAATCATTGTTTCGCTTCCACGCATAAAGTGAACTAGCATATGAAGAGTGGAAATTAAAGAGTTTAGGGAAAAAGAAATTGCAAACAAGATTTATTGTGGTTCAGCTTGGGTGTGGATACTTGTCTTTGAGATTTAGCAGTCCAAGTAGGCTGAATGCCAATAGTTATGCTAAGAGTACAACTACTGCCTTGATACAAGTGTAGAACTAGCTGCCTCGAAGAACCTGACTTCTTTCTACAGTAACCTCGCTAGAGACTAAGTAACTATTGGACCCACTTAGAGTTGTTCTCACACCTTGTAAAACATAGCACAATAGATTCTTTCACTGGATAATAAACCACATCTCTACTAGACAAAGTGTTTTCGTATACTCTCTTGCACACTTTGTCTGTTACCTAGACAAAATCATTCACTCTAAATACAACCATTTCTCTCTATGTTGACAAATGAATTTGTCACACTTGTTAACTCTTTCGAACAACACTCAAATGGGTATTACAAGCTTACAAAAAAGACGGACTCGAAAAAACCTCTCAACAATGCTATTTCTCGTTTTTGCCCTTTTCTACTATCATGCCGTGACTGATTTTTCTCCAATTTATAATGCTCGAAGTCCGAACTTGTACTTTCTAATTGTTATATCCATCTAATACATTGTAGAATCTCGGCAAAATTCCCTAAAAAACACGTGCAAAATATTCCTTCAACCTTGGCTGCCAATCAGATATTCTATTCATGGCCGGTTTCGATCATCCCACTCACCAATTTTTTGAACGAATTAGTATGTGAGCTTTGGCATAAATAATCTTGGGAAATAATTACTCAATCAGTCCTCAATCTAGTGTACATATGCTAATGCGGTCATACTTTTCAATTTTGCCGATGTAATCCTAAACCTTTGAGCAAAAATTCAATGTAGTCCTTCCGGCTAATTTTTGCCTAAAATACTGACATGGCAGCACTCTAGTCATCACCAATCATGCTATGTGGCACGACCGACATCTGACGTGAATAATGTTTAGTAAAACAACATAGTTTTGCTCTGTTTTTTTTTTTTTAAATTTTTAGATTATTTTATTTTTCTTTTCTGTCCTACTGTTCATCTTCTCCAAATGCCATCTTTAAACTTTAAAACTAAATGGTCAATTTTACGGTGGGTCATGAGTTATATTCAATAATACGTGTTAGTTAAAATTTAATTTCATGATATCATATGTTTTTTCAAATTTAAATCAAAAGATACAAATTTTTGAAATCTAATTGGTAACTTACCCGTCATTTTTTTTTTCAAACTAACATATATTTTTCTAAAAGTATATTTCAAGATATTTGTTTCTATGATGTTTTGGGTATTTGTAGAGCTTTGAAGGTCGATGTTTTTCTTGTTCTTTCTATAATTGCTTCCTCAAGCCCATTTCAACTTGAACTGCTCATAACTTCCTTGGGTGTCTGATCTTAACTGCTCCTTGAGTTTTGGGTATATGACTGTAATTGTTTACCCATCAAACTCTTGTTTGATCTCACCTCCAAATCTACGCGAGGGACTCTTTGCAAAACACCCTAAATACCTTCTAAGTGAATTGCTTAAGCGAATCTCTTCCTTTTCGTACATCGAGCTATTTCCTTTCCTTAATTCGGGACTTCCGGCCTACGAATTCACTACAACGAGGTATATATTTTATATCATAACACTACCCATCGCATTGCATGAGAATCCGATGCGTATGGATATGAAAGAACAGGGGAAAATTGATTGTGCCTAATGAGAGGAAATCGTAAATGAGTGATGGACCGTGAAAATGCGACTTTGAGACCCTTGGTTCCGATGCCAAACAAGTCCAACCCATGAAGCACAAGCCGTATGGTGGGCTCTCTAATGGAAGACTGTTGACTCTAACATGATTTTCCTTTATCAAACTCAGAAATGACGATATATGTGAGGTCTTCTGACAACCATCTAGAAAGTGAGATGTCGATTATTAACCTATTTTCAATTGAAGCGACACAAAACTCCCTTTGCATATATAAAGATGTGATTTGATTGACTTTTCTTGGTACCAGGTTCACTAGTTGTGGAATACATCAGGTGTATTTGAAAGAGTCAAGCTAGGTTGGAAGAAAATCGTCTAGCCTAGAAGAAACACAGAGTGAAAACTATACATGGCGAGAAAGGAAACCAGATTTGTTCAAAAACCATTAGTTTTGTACAGGATGATGTAAAGCCACTCGTTACCAAACAAAGAAAGTAAATTAATGCCTGTGTGTATGTACATTTATGGTTTGCGCTAATTTGCTCTAGAAGTCCTAGATGCTTTATGTTGCAAACACCTTTGACGACCTTAGTCAGGTGACTTAATCCTATCCGACCGCGTCAAATTGGCTACTTCATTTCTGTATTCCGTGTGATTCGAGTTTTCCTCCTATGGATTACTCTCTTTTTTTCGACTAGGGTTATCTTGTCGTGTCGAGTTCTTGCATTTCCATTCTGTGCCGCAATAACTATGTGAACTAGTAGAAGTCAATATGTGGACCGAATCCGGGACAATTAGTCTGAAGTTTGATCCGAAAGTATCAACTTGATTAGTTTTTGTGAGGTGAGTCCAATAAACAGTCGCTGTTAGCTGGATTTTGCTTATTACGCAAAAGCAGAGGGTCAATCACGCCGTTTCTGCATATATTCTTAAAATATTCTATATTGTCGTTTACGTTGCAACTTGCTATTACCATATAATTGAGTCTCAATCGCCCTTTCTCTCAAAACAAGCTAGGGAGAAGAAGAGGGGTCAACATCAACTAAATATCTGACGACTCTCTGAACAACCACGTTTGACCAAGAGACACTGTAAAACTTAACGTTGCTGTCATGAAGTCGTTGAGGATTTATGGTGTTTTAATTCAGCTTTCAGAGAGAGATTATGAATGATTAGGTAATTTTTCTTTGAAGATAGCTTTAAAAAATTTCGATCAATTTTATTTTGAAGGAAAAAAAGAAGCACATTCTTGAATTAATAGACTGCATTTTGAAAGAGTCAAGCTAGGTTGCAAGAAAATCCGTGAGAACTATATACATCGGGGCAAAGGAAAACAGATTTGTTCAAAAGGCATTATTTGCTCTGGAAGTCTTTAGATGCTTTATGTGTCAATCGCCATTGACAACATTAGCAAGATGACTCGATCCTACCTAAAAAGCACGCAAAATTGGCTAGTGCATTTATGTATCTAGTGCTATCCGAGTTTCTGTTCGATAGGTTACTCTCTTTTGTTCGACTAGGGTTATCTTGTCGTGTCGGGTTCTTGCATTTCTGTTCTGTGCCGCAAAAATTGTGTGAACTATAAGAAGTCAATATGTGGATCTGACTTGGGTCAATTGATCTTAAAGTTTGATCAAATATCAACTTGATTTGTTTTTGTCAAATGAGTCCAAGAAACGGTTGCTGTTTAGATGGATTTTGCTTATTCTGCAAAAGCAGAGGTCCATCACGCTATTATTATATATATTCTTAGAATATTCTATATTGTCGTTTATATTGCAACTTGCTATTAGCATGTGATTGGGTTTCAATCCCCATTCTACTCAACATCAAACTAAATATCTTCAACAAGAGAGATTGTCACACTTACTCTATGTTGCTGTCATGAAGTCGTAGAGGATTTATGGTGTTTTAATTCAGATTTCAGATAGATTATTGCAACAGCATAAAAAATAAAAGGAGGAAAAAAAAAACCTATAATTTCGCTTTTCATGAAATTATGCGACTCAATTCATTTATTGTTGAGGTGGCGATCAACCAGAGATGTTGCTAAAGTGATGCCGTGCAGGCTTCAAGCAAACAAAAAAAATTAATAGAGGATGCAAGCATATAAGTACAAAATGAAAAATATAGAAAAAAAGTTAAGTCGTCAAAGCATACAGCGGAAAACTATTAGAGAAAAAAATAATGGGCGAGAGAAAGCATTTTGTATATGAAAGTCACACCAAATAGTGATGACAAGTGGAGAAACCGGACAATAAAAGATGAGCT